TCTATGACGTAATTCCAATGTACTGTTCTGTACAAACACATGACATAAGACCAGGGGACAGATTCATGAAATGTTCTTTGAAACAAAATTCTTCTTATCTTCAAAATCTTTATTATTCTCTAACTAAAAGTTTGTATTCCCCAAAATACTTTAAGAATGTTCTTATCTTTCTTCCCTTCTTGAAGGGAATGTTCTCAAAATCATCGTAAATAACTTCCTAAGTTCGGATAACCTTCAACTTATCTTAAACCCACAAAGGTACTACTACAAAATGTTAAAAATGATCATGAGGTGCTTGCTACTTAGAGGTTAATAGACAGACAAAAAAAATAAATGTAGGCCTATCTTTTAATTTTTTTTTCTTTAGATTTTTGTGAATCCAGCCCCAAGGGTTTGACAGCCAACGCAACTTGGTAAACCTCAACTTTGTGAATCTTTTGGTAATAAAACAGACGGAGGCAGGTGAGAAAGTTTTTGATGTTTTTTCAGTAATATTCCTTGCCATTGTGGCTGTAAATGTGTTGCCTTTGGCCACTAATGCAGACAGTCCAGCTCCTCGGATTCAACCACAAGCTTCAAATAGTCGCCAACAATCATCAAACACCAAAAAACGTCTTTTTGAACATCATAAACCCAAAAGGAATGTATGCAGAGGAATACATAATGCTCTGAAAACAACACTTATCATCCGGAGCTACACAAATCCCAGCAGGAACAGAGATGGTGTATGGTTTCTATTGTTTTTGCAATCCAAACATTTCAAATTAAGCCATTTCATTTTCTGACATTCAACCCTACATCCAGATCCCGACCATTGCCCTTTCATCTTCTTATCCAAAAGTAAAGACAGAGAGTGTGGAATGTGGTACACATCACCCTTTTTTTGAGGAAGAATAGGTTTTGGGTCTCTGATGAGAACATACAAGGAGACACTTGTTGAAATAATCACCCAAAAGACTTGAGAATCTGCTCAAGTCAAGTTACCAAGTAGGACATCCAACCACAGTTCTTTAGGACTAATTCGGTTTATATACCAGACCATCCGGATGAGGCCCCTACATAGAAACTGCACTGTTCTTCTCTCAACATTCAAGAACCATAAATTTGTCTTCCATGTATACAGCTGTAAAGCCCCCTGACACCAAGATCATGAACTCTGTCCTCGGGCAGTTCTCTGTGGTGGTCTGCACACTAGCTAATTCTATCAATGCATGCCAATGAGTACTGTTCTCCTCAGACCTATGTGCCCCTTTGGGACCAGACTATCAGGAAGTGGACAAGGCCAGGAGTGAATGTTTTTTTTTTTTTTAAAAAGAAAGATTTAGAGAGCGAGAGAATGAGAGAGAACTTGCAGGATAGAGAGTTTATACCTGACACCAGATTCTTCATTTTAAGAGAAAGAACAGAGTCTTTAGACAGCTAGCTGCCGCTGTTCAAACGAAGTTTGGACCACATTGACTATGATTTCACTGAAACATACGTGAATCAAATCACTACTTTTTGAAACCCACAATAATATGGAGGCACTCCAGTGGATCTTAAACTCCTTTAACTTCTAACTATTTGGCATGACGTAATTGAAAGGTCCAAAACTACATATTTTTAAATGTTGGGTTGTCTCAATGATTAGTCAAGCTAGTCAGCTTTAAGGAGGCCCTGAATAAATTTGTGTCCAACAGACCCCATTCAGGACTGCAGTTCTCAAAGGCATCGTAAGCCAAGTAAATGGTAGAAAACATTGGCACAAGTAGTATCTACAATCTAATTAGGCTCACGATGCTTTTGGGCAGGGGTCTCCAAACTTGGTCCTGGGTGCCCTGCGGAGTTTAGCTCCAACCCTAATTAAACACACATGAACCAGCTAATTAAGGTCATACTAGGCATACTAGAAACTTCCAGGCAGGTGTGTTGAGGCAAGTTGGAGCTAAACTCTGCAAGACACCGAACCTCCAGGACCGAGTTTGGAGACCCCTGCTTTTGGGAAACACAGCCCAGACCTGGTTCTAAGGGGGTTTTCCATAAAATACATGCACAGCCATTCAATAGGGTAACTGTCAGAAATGTAACAAATAAATATACTAAATAGTTAAAATATAATGCAATAAATTACTTTTTATTTCATAGATGACTTTAAGGGAATGTGTTACAAAAGACAAAAGTGTTTTCATAGGACTGGTACTTTAAAGAGAATCTAACATAAAATTATTCCTAATTTTTTTTAATTCACTTTTAAGCACTTTTGGTAAAAAGCTAAAATAATAATAATAATTTACAAAAATAAAATAAATGAATAAAAAAAAAAAAAGATCAGTTAGTCAATTTCAGTAGCCTATAGACAGCTGTTGGTCGACCTACAGCACCAGAAAACTAAGAAATACACATTCTATCAAACGCCTGGGAAGAAAACTTTTGATATCGTACATTCTTTCACCACTTCACTCAGCCTCCAGTTTGAGGCCCATCCATCCTCCTCTACGACGACATCTCTGGAGTGAAAAGTTCAAATGAAGTCATCACTGAGAGAGCTGCCTCTTGCCATGACTTCACAGTTCATAAGAATGAGGCCAAGATACCGTGTCAGGGGGCATATGGTCTAGAGTATTAGATTGGAAGTACAGGGTAAAGAGTTTAAATACCATGCCGAATTACATCATCAGAGACCCAGAACGGAGAAACACACGCTTACACACGCACTCCTCTGACTCATTCAACCATGCGTCATGCTCTAAATCATCTGCCGCTTCTAAATTTCATCTTCGCCAGACACACGATGGCAGACTAAAACAATAGCTGGAGGGTCTGCCTTAGAGAAAATGAGCAAAAAAAGACAATAAGAGACTAAATGGAGAAGAATGGAGATGTCTCACTGAAAATAACACCCCCAAAAAAACAGATCCAGCGTTAGCCCACTCTGACTAAAGCCCCTCTACAGCTGTGCACGACCAGACACAGTCCAGCAGACAAACACAGATGGAGATGGCTGATTGTGGCATGTTCTAGTCAGGGCATGCATGAGTTGATTATTACTGCAATCATACAGTGCTGCACAGCTGTCTGCAGCTTGAGAAATGAGTAATGCAGCCAAAGGGCAGGGAAACCCAACAGATCAGCATTGTGATTGAATGGCATGCTTCATACTCTGTGATTTCCCCCTTTTTTTTATCACCTCATATGGCCACAAACATCATATCTACAGGTGAAAGGTGATTATGTGGTCTTGCAATCAAAGCTGGATTATATTTACCATAACTGCTGCTCCATTCAACAACATTCTCCATTCAAAGATGTTCTGAAGGCAGACTACAGGTATTTGGGCTACATATAAAAGCACTTGTGCATCATATTGGCTTTTGGGGTAACATTACTAATCAGTAAGTACTTAAACGGATAGTTAATTCAGAATTCTGTCATAATTTACAAATGGAGTTTCAAACCTGTATGACTTTATTTCCTTTGTGGATAACAAAAGAAGTTATTCCTAAAAATGTCTCTGTTTTTTTTTTTTTTTGTCCATACATTGCAATAGGGTCCAATGTTGTTTCGGACTCCTTTAGTTTTCATTGTATAAACAAAAACAGTTTAAACACTCTTCACAATATCTTCTTTTATGTTCCATGAAAGAAAGTCTTACAGGTTTTCACCAACATGATTAAATGAAGGTTTTCATTTTTTAATAACAACTATTAGGATAACTATAACTATTAGCCAAGCAATGAAGTGTCCCTTCAAATCAGTTTTTAACACTCTAAATGTGAGTACTGTGACTTATCTACATCACTGAAAAATTTCAGGTAAAAACAAACACAAAGTGAATATCCACAATATCAGAGATGCCTAACTTTTGGCTTTTTTTCCCAAGGGTTACTCATAATCTAGCAAAGGTCATCTTTGAATGGTTGGAGATTCTCCTGTTAGATTATATAGAAGGTTTAAGTGACCATAGCACTTGCAATCAGGGAAAATTATGGGGGGGCAATCTTCATTCCCCTTTAGGAGAGCTGGTACCTTACTATGACATCATTACCTCTAGTCAAGTCCTATTTATAGAAAAACCACCAGCGATGCCACTGATAGAGGCATTGCCATCCGCTCACATCTAAACATGCACACACACTTCAGGCTTGCACTAAGCAAACACAAAACCACACTTTTAGGACTGTCGCTCCCCAACTGTGCTGATACGCTTTGATCTAAATGGCAGTGCACAGACTGGGTTGGGATTGTAAACAACAGTTGGGGGATACCCCTGGTTTCATTGCCCCCTGTACTGAAAAGTGTGAGCTAATGCTGAGCTCTAGTAGACTTTAGTACACAAGGAGTCTATCGGAACGAAAGGGAAACACATTAAATCAATGAATGAACTAGGTTAAACAAGTTTGGCTTTCAACCTTTAAAGAACACCAACCCAGACTCTGGGCCAACCCGGGGATCCCCTGAGATTGGAAAAAGTTTCTACTTAAGCTAACATTACTACAATATAAAATACATATATTGGGATACAAAGTTAGAAATTAATTAATAGTTAAAAATGTCCATCTATGACCCTTCCCTATGGACCCCTGGAGTACATTCAGACATGCTTGGATTAAAAAAAACGGCTTTCATCACAATGATAAATGAAACAGTACCTTTCTTGGATTTGAATGACAATAACCCTTTATACTAATGCATTGTACATCATACTGTGGTAAAACACCATATTCTGAGGCCACAGAGGTGTGTCAGTACATTATAATTCCTAAATTTTGTAAGATAAAAGTGCATATGAGCAAAAATTACATCCATACAATCACAGCAGGATGGACAGAAATAGCAGGGTGGACAAAAACACTAATATGTGGCATTTAAAGTTATTAAACAGCATTTGAATTGTCTAGTTCGTATAATTAAACAACTCTACGTTGGCAATGATTAGTGAACTTGGGTCTAGTTGTACATTTCTTTGAATGCACGCCAAGTCTCTTTACTTTCAATATGTAAAATCAAAGAAGGAAACCAACCTTGAGTCAGTCATGTAAAAGTCCACCGTGTACCCGAAGTAACTACCGTTCGGTCCGGTATACACCGCTGGGTTCTCCACATCCAAGTTGAAGGCAACAGACAAAGGTAGAAGAATCAACAGTGAAAGTCCCATTGGAGAGCAGCTCGGGTTGTGTGAAGACGCTGAAGTCTTTGAACGGTGCTTTTTGGAGCCCATTGTAATCGATATGTCACAATTTATACTTTATAAAACTTCTCTCAGAACAAAAGGTGGCACTTGAGCAGAATCCTTCTGAAGATGCTGCCTTACGCAAATCTCATGCCTTAGTGAAGCGTATCAGTCTGATCGTTATTTCTCCAAGCGCTCTGTAGACAGCCTCCGTATATCTGTCCTCTTCTCTCTTTTCTGCGTCTTCCCTGCTCCCTCCAGCTTAATTGAAGGGGTATTAGGAGGAGGTTCAGTTCTTCCACTCGTGACAAACTCCCATAGAGGTGGAGCTAAGAGCACAATTCACAAAGTGGGGGAAAAAGAGCGGTACAACATTGAGTTAGATAACTTCATTAATCAAATAAGTAGAAATGCATTGAATAAAGCAACGAGATAAAACGTACAACAAAGAGACAAATAGTGAACGCTGTGCAGATTAACTTAACCATTTAGGTTTATGGATTTTACACTCTGAAGCCTGATATTTACATTTTATTAATTTATTTTATTTTTTAATTGCATATAATACATATAATTACCGGTACATTTTCAATTTAATATTTTAATAATTCATGTTGCACTGTGCCATCTAAAGCTAAATTAAATTAATAAATAAATAATTTGTATATTGAAAAAAACGAAGACACACTTACTTGTCCTTGTAGAGTTCATATCCTGAAAGGATGATGTCATGACAGTTTTTCTTATGGTTTACATTATTTAATGGTTTGATGCATAACCTGGGGACGCGTCATCAAGAATTACTTCTAAAATATGATGTACAGTAAAATTTAAAAAAGAAAAGAAAAAAAGAAAACATTAAATTAAAAAAATTCTAGCTTAAACAAGAAAAATATTTTTTTTAAATTTAACATTTGTGACCTGTTATCTGTCCACTTGAAGTACTCTTTGCATAGTTGTCAAAGATAGCTGAATGAATGATTAACCCTTTAAACAATGAAAGAGCTGTTTTCAAAGTCCTTTATCCTCCAAAAAACGATCTCCAAACTTGTTGCCTTCAACATTAACCTTCTCAGCGTCGAGATTATAGACGCTAAATGCTGATACAGTTTGTCAGGAAAGCCATCACTGAAGTATTTGGAGCAATACTACAAATTCCGCGTGTAGGTATTAAGTAGAGACTATGAGTCAGTTTTAATTTGGAGAAGTGTTGTTTATAATACACAAGCCTGTATACTAAGCAATCTCCATTTATAGAGCTGACACCATCACGGAGCTGGGAAGTTGTGCGTCTCTGAGCTGTAAAAAGCCACTCCACCGACTGGAATTAGAGTAGGCTATGTTGTTTTAGTTGATTTAGCCTCTGCTCAAGGGATTGAAATGGGGAGCCAAATTTGGCTGTATGGCTACAGGGAACTCGCCGTGAGAAGCCTTCTACTTGGGAAAGTAGGGTGTGAAGGGGGAGCTCACAGCTGTCGGACCACAGCCACACCGCTTTCAACCAATCTTTTCGTTTTGTTTAAACTCAGACCGAATGAAGTTGCTGCAATAACATGTATATTAAAAAAGTTCATTTATTCTAATCATGTTCGGTTCGTAAACGAATCTTCCCTTTGAATCAGATATTTCAATGAACCAGTTCACAAGATGAATCTTAACGATTCATTCACGAGAGCGATGCTCGAGTCAACTCACTGAATCAATGAATTAAGAATCTTGTTCGAACCTATACCATTAAGCACAAAACCACACATGAAAAACAAGCAAAAAACACTATTTTAGTTAAACGGAAAACCTGCGCTTTTGCATTGTTTAATTAAATATCGCTTTATTTAAATATTTAGTGATAACGTAATTGCGTCATTCCGCAAAAAACACTGAATCGGTTGTTTGAAATTATTCTTTCCGCTTGAAAAATGTGTTTCATATGTCACGATTCTCATCACTAATTTGAACAGTTATCAAACTAGAGTGTGCAAAGTAAACTGAGTGCGTGAAGTGTTTGTGATCGCGAATAAAATTATCGTTAATTTACCTTCTTGACCCAGTAGGCCTATTTTTTTTTACATAGGCCCTATGTCAGTATTTTTAGATAAAACAAATTAAACGCTAACTCGCAGTTAACTGGCAGTAACCTACTGCTGAGGAATATCTCATAGAAATGAACACTTTGTGAAAGGCAGGAATTACCTATTTTCCCAAACTTTGTGCAAACTAGAAAGGCCTATATAGCCTAAAAGTTCAGCAATAATAATAGTTCATATTTATCATTTAAATGTGTCTAAATATGTTACAAATGTGATACAAACATTTTAGTGCTGAATTTACATTTTGTTATTCAGTTAGTAGCCTAATTTAAGTTAGGGTAACGCGATCATCAAGGTAACTCACATTCTTGTGAAAGCTGAAGTCTTTATGTGACTGGATGGGCCAGTTTCTTAACTAGGAATAGGCTTGAAATGTGAGCAGTCATATGTTTTTTTAGAAGCTCCAAGATTTTATAATGAGCTGGGCAAGAAATTTGGAATTATGAAAGGTACTGGTTTCATAGTACACTTAATTTTTTTCTTATGAAATGACCCTAAAGTTACACCTCCTGTAATTTGGGTTTATTTTGTCCTTCCCTTTTTTACGCCTACATGATTTCCATCATACGCTCCATAAAACATGTACAGATACTAAAGCAGTGTGCTAATATATATACATAATATACATGTATCCCGCTGACACTATAAGGGTCAAAATTTTATTTTAGCATGTGTGTTTGGCTCAGTGTTTTTTTTTTTAGGATTACTGATAAACTAATGTAGTTTGATTTGTATTAGTTATCTATTTTAGTTTTAGTTACAGTTGTAGTAATGTTGTCATTTTATTAGTTTTTTTATTATGTCTATATAGGTTTTTTATTAAGTTTTAGTTTTATTTAATTTGAGTTATTTCAGTACGTCAACATACAAAATGAAATAATATATATATATTGAATGTATTTATATATACAGTATATATATACATGTATATGTATATGTGTGTGGCTGTACATACACATATGTAGTTGTTTTTTGGTGTTTGGCTTAGTGTTATGTTAGAATCATTATTATACTCATACCTTTTGTTCTTTTAATATTTTGAATTGTTTTTATTCTTTTATTTTCTTAAATCTGTATATATATATATAGTATTTATAGAGTTTTAGCTTTTAGTTTTAATTACTTTTTCTTATTTGTAAGTCGCTTTGGATAAAAGCGTCTGCTAAATGACTAAAAGTAAAAGTAAAAAGTAAAAATTTTGAGGACCTCTAAGAGACTTAAGCATATACAGTTTAGAGAGATAAATAGTTACATGATCATGCTGTCTGCCGCTGTGAGTCAGCCCCCTACTCCACGCAGATTTTCCTTCTTATTACCTGAGAGACTGTAAATTCTTGACACTAATCACATTATGTCTGCTGTGCACCTCAGCTTCTGGCACCTTGAAGAGAATGAATGGTGTACATTTCACAAATCACACAAAACACAAAAGGAAAGCTTTATAGGTAATGTAAGGGAGTCATTTTAAATCCATGGCATGAGAGACCTTTGTCCAGATCTGGTATTGCAAATGTTGAGTTGGAATAACAGGAAAAGATTAGGTAATGGGGCTGTATGTGGGTCAGTTTTTTCGTTTTGTGGGCTCTGCAAAGGGGTGTTATGTCTGTAGGATATTGCTTAGATGTTGTCATACATGAAGGGGCATTAACAAGTCGAGGCGGTAGCCAAAAATTGCCTTAACTTGCGGTGCTGCACGGTTGGTATGCCGCTTTTTCAAAGCCGTCCAGCATACGTAGCTATAAATGTGTGAGAACACAAATACTTGGTACACATGTGATCTTTTGTCACAGGTTTTGATTACTTAAAGGAGTTCACTTCCAGAATGAACAGCTGATGTTGATCAACTGATGATCAACTGTTCGTATACTAACATTTTTCAAAATATCTTCTTTTGTGTTCAACAGAAGAAAGAAACTCATACAGGTTTGTAGCAATTGGAGGGTAAATGATGACAGAATTTTTATTCTGAAAGTGAACTACTCCTTTAAAGGGGTCATATGATGTTGCTAAAAAGAACATTATTACATTTTTTGCAATCCGTACAGCTTGCTTTCTTTTGTTAAACACAAAATGAGGTATTTATAGCAGAATGTCCTTGTTCAATACAAAATACAAAAAATGAATGGTGACCACAGGCCTGTCATGCAGGATTTACTGTAACTATCCTAAACTAAATTTCAGACTGTTCTTCACACAAAGCTAAAATACAGCTTCGGAAGTCTTTGAATATAGAATCGTTGTCCTTTTCACTTCCCCGTTCCCCATTCAATTTCATTGCATAGAAGATACAGTGTTCCATAGAAGAAAATAACAGTTTTGAATGACATGAATGCAAATAATGACAGAATTTTCATTTTTGAGTGAACTGCTTTTACATTTTCAGTGTATATAAAGAGTGTAAGCATATACAGAAAGTGATAGCTCACTATTTGGTAGGCAAGTGACTTGTGGAAATTTGCAGTCCTTGGTTGTTCCACTCAGTCAAGAGGTTTGTCATGGATGACTGGAGTCTAGAGAACATTCAAGGCGTCTTAGACACTACAGATGAGTCTTTCGTCTGTGTCTCAGAAGATCTCTTGAGGTTTGTCACACTACTGAAAAAAACACTTCTTATTAAAACTTCATCTGACGGGATATCACACACTGAGCTCTGAATTTTTATCTGTAACCCCACAAAGAAGCTTTCTGGAAACATTTCTATTGAAAAATCATAAACATTAGGTTAATATTTCTTGTGAGGTTTTAAACAGAAATAAAAGCCAAATTGATTTCATACTCCACTTCAAAAACATACTGTGACGAGTGGGCCGGGGCCGAGAGTCGTGGGAATGGAGCAAGGCCGGTGGAGTAATTGATAATGAGCTACACCTGCGCCAATCACCAGTCTCGAAGCCCACGGAGGAGCTCCGGAAGGATAAAAGGAGGAGAGATGACAGTGAAAGAGGAGAGAGGACCAGGACCCCGCCCCACTCGTCACACACAGAGGCATCATGCCCATTCAAAACCTTCAGATTTTTGAGCCAAGTGGATTTTGAATGCAGCTTCCAACATACAAAAAAAATAGCCTATTCATATTTTCTATATTTAATACAATCACACCAGCTTGATTAGAACGTTCAGCGCGTCATATGATCAGCT